AGTAATTTCCTACTGAAAAAAAACTGAGGATTTAATTATTGGACCAAAAACCTCTGTATGTAATAACCTAAAACACTGTCTAACACTTGATGGCTGCTCTGTTAATTCCTTGTCATCAGTTAGGACCCTAGGTGTGCTTTTTGACAGCAATCTTTCCTTTGAAAACCATGTTTCTAGCATTTATAAGACCGCATATTTCCATCTTAAAAATATATAGAAATTATGACCTATGCTCTAAATGTCAAATGCAGAAACTTTAATTCATGCGTTCATGACCTCAAGGTTAGATTATTGTAATGCTTTATTGGGTGGTTGCTCTGCGCGCTTAATAAACAAACTCCAGCTGCAAAATGCAGCAGCTAGAGTTCTTACTAGGGGTGGGCATTTTCCAAAAACTTTGCATTTGAATATTTGGGTTCAAAAAAACTAATATTCGTTTATTTAAATGAGGTTTAATGAGAAAGACGTTATTTTTAATTATCAAGTTTTTGTCACGATTTCTGAACAAGCTTATGATTAGCCGTTACACAACAATGTTCTACAACAACGTTACGTTATATCACAAGGTTTTATTTTGGTTGAAAACGTGTAAACAAAAAACAATACATAAAAAAAAGCATTCAAGATCAAGCAGAGCAAACAGAAAAATCAAGCAGACTGTGCCAATTACAGTACAGAACGTAGGCTACATATACTCGAGTCGGCCTATATTTATTGAGTTTACATTGTTTCATGTATTAATTCTGAGAGAAACAATAATATCCACATGCTCGGGTGAAAGTTTGTTCCTCAGTCTGATAACAATAAGAACGCGCTGACAAAGATAAAGTGTGCTTAGCTTTATTTCTTAGCGCTTTGTGTTAATCCACTCTCCCTCAAGTAACTTTTATATACAGTGGTTACGGAAAGTATTCAGACCCCCTTAAATTTTTCACTTGATAAACTTGTTGCATCTTTCCCAAAAAGACTCATGGCTGTATTCGATCAAAAGGGTGCTTCTACTAAATACTGAGGAAAGGGTCTGAATACTTAGGACCATGTGATATTTCAGTTTTTCTTTTTTAATAAATCTGCAAAAATGTCAACAATTCTGTGTTTTTCTGTCAATATGGGGTGCTGTGTTTACATTAATGAAGAAAAAAAAAGAACTTAAATGAATTTAACAACTGGCTGCAATATAACAAAGAGTGAAAAATTTAAGGGGGTCTGAATACTTTCCGTACCCACTGTATGTCTCAAGATCATTTGGCTATCAGATGCGCTCTCTTCTCGGCTCAATCGGAGTCAACTCGAATGCAGTGATGGACAGCTGTCTTTCCGCAGTCGATTGTGTTTGGATTTCATGTGATTTCTCATTGTGGTGGTGATACAATGATAAATCAGTTTCACTAATTAATTTGATCAGAAGTAATTACATTTTGTCAGATCATTTAGATCAAAGTAAATCCAAACTTCGAGAGGCAGATGACGACATTCTGTGATCAAATACTATCAACTTGTTAACACGCTCCACAGCGCCACCCAGTGCATTTAGTTATAACAGCTTAGGATTTATCACGGATTCCCTGCATTTACGGCCAGCAAATCAACACAGTAAAATTCAAATAGTGTTTTTATTATTCGAATAATAATTTCAGACCGAATGTTCGACTATTCGTGCACACCCGTAGTTCTTACTAGAACCAGGAACTATGACCACATTACCCCGGTTCTGACAACACTGCACTGGCTCTCTACTGAACAATGAGTACATTTTGAAATCTTGCTAATTACTTATAAAGCCCTGAATGGTTTAGCTCCTCAATACTTGAGTGAGCTCATATCGCAGTCCTTCACGTCCGCTGCCATCCCAAAACTCTGGTAATTTGAAAATACCTAAAATATCAAAATCAACTGTGGGCGGCAGATCCTTTTCCTATCTAGTGCCCAAACTCTGGAACAATCTACCTAGAGTTGTTCAGGAGGCAGACACACTCCATCAGATTAAATCTACTGTAGATGAAAGACCTATTTAACCTGGCTTACACATAACACACTTTCACATTTCTATAATTCAAATCTGTTAAAGGATTGTTAGGCTGCATTAATTAGGTCAACCGGAACCGGGAACACTTCCCATAACACCCGATGTACTCGCTACATCGTAAGAAAAATGGCATCTACGCTAATATTAGTCTCTTTCATTCTGATTCCGAGGTCACCGTAGCCATACGGACCCAGTCTGTATCCAGATCAGATGGTGGATCAGCACCTAGAGATGACCTCTACAGCCCTGAATGTCAGCGGAGACCATGTCAACTAGATGTGCCCCAGTGACAGATTCCTTGTGAAGACCTCGTCATCTCGACGACCATCGACACAAGAGAACGGGAACCAGACAAGTCCTCTGCACCTGTGTTGCAGGCTGGAATTAAACCATGCCATGCTGGTGTCGTCTGGCCAGAAGAGAACTGCCCCCCCCCCCGACTGAGCCTGGTTTCTCCCAAGGTTTATTCTCCATTTCTTTCACCAATGGAGTTTTGGTTCCTTGCCACTGTCGCATTTGGCTTGCTTAGTTGGGTGTTATTGTCTTCTAGCATTATTGACAAACTATTTTGCTGTTTGACACCATTGCCACTGGGATATATGTATACTGCTTTGACACAATCTGTATTGTATAAAGCACTAATAAATAAAGGTGACTTGACTTGACTTAAATTGAGGACTGAATACTGAGGAGCATTTTTGTGTGATCAAAATAATGTATTATAAATATTAAAAGTATGACATAGTTTGAAAAAAAAGTATTGTGAAAAGAACTATACGAATAAAATTTTATTGAAAGAACAACTGTTTTATTTTTTCATAACATCCACTGTGCAAATTACTTCATTATCTCATGTCTTCTCCCCTTCTTCTTCTAAAAGAATGTATTTTTATTGTCCTCGGTCCAGTTTGGTTTACATTTCTTGATTCTAGTATAGTAAAGGCGGTTAGCAAACAGGACGAGAAGCCCAGAGCTGTGTCACGGCTAGGCCATCTGAACACTTGATGCATCATTCTGTACTTTTGTGCTAAAATTCCCAGTGGCAATTTTCAACTTTAAAAATTTACAAAGTGGCATTGATGCATTTGAAGTTGCATGAAAAACAGTGCAAATGGAAATATTAAAAAGCCAGTGTGCCAATATTATGAACGGTCAGCATGTTCACCTACAGTTTGGTTGGAAACACATACACCTTTTAATTTTTTACATTCATCTATGCATGAACAAATAATGACTTGAACATAATATTCTCACTTAACAACTAGCTAAAACAGAACAAATACTGAGGTTGAATTACAATTTCATCTCTAGTTGGTATAGATGGCTTTTTCATAGATTTTTTAAAAAGTTTTTTTTACCTAAATAAATTATAAATTGATTGAGGGTATACTCACTCTATAGCAGGGCTGTCCAAACTCGGTCCTGCAGAGTTTAGCTCCAACTTGCCTCAACACACCTGACTGGAAGTTTCTATGCCTAGTAAGAGCTTGATTAGCTGGTTCAGGTGCGTTTAATTAGGGTTGGAGCTAAACTCTGTAGGACACCGGCCCTCCAGGACCGAGTTTGGACAGCCCTGCTCTATAGAGACTCAATGTTTACCAGAAACACTTGAACAAGCTATGATAACCCTCTGACAAGCCTGGTAAAGACTCCTGTCTGTGCGGCTCCTATAGACTGATCTCATTGCTTAATTCAGATTATAAGATTTTTGCGAAAATTATTGCTTTAAGATTAGAAAAAGTAATTTCATAATTGGTACACATTGATCAAACAGGATTTATTTAGAATAGCTCTCTTGTTGATAATGTTCAGAGACTTCTGAATGCATTTTTTTCTGCCTCGCAGGTGGACATCCTTGTTATTGATGTTTCTTTAGACGCCAAAAAGGCCTTTGACCGAGTTGAATGGCCATATCTGATCTCAGTCCTTCAAAAGATTACAAAGATTTAAAAAGAACCACCCAACAGCAGTGATTCAGACCAACACTGAGATCTCGGCTCACATTTCCTTGCAGCGAGGCACAAGACAGGGTTGCCCACTTTCTCACTGTCTGAAGTTACTGTGAATTTGCATGTTTCTATGCCTCTCTCAAAAAAAAAAAAAAACACAATGTGCTTGAATTTTAGTGTGCTCTATGACCTTGCTTAAATAATTTCCATAACTCAAATATTTTATTACAGCTGTATAGATAACCAGCAACCAAACACTTGCTGGTCCCCAATGACTTTCATAGTATGGGAAAAAAATACTATGGAAGTCAGTGAGGAAAACTCTTTGGTTAACCACATTCTTAAAAAAAAATCTTCTTCTGTGTTGAACAGAAGAAAGAAATTCATACAGGTTTAGATCAACTTGAGGGTGAGTTAAATGAGGTTTATTGTTTTTTTTTTCTGGGTAAATTTTCCCTTTACAGTGTTTTTTTTCTATGCCTCTCTCAAAAAAAAAAAAAAACACAATGTGCTTGAATTTTAGTGTGCTCTATGACCTTGCTTAAATAATTTCCATAACTCAAATATTTTATTACAGCTGTATAGATAACCAGCAACCAAACACTTGCTGGTCCCCAATGACTTTCATAGTATGGGAAAAAAATACTATGGAAGTCAGTGAGGAAAACTCTTTGGTTAACCACATTCTTAAAAAAAAATCTTCTTCTGTGTTGAACAGAAGAAAGAAATTCATACAGGTTTAGATCAACTTGAGGGTGAGTTAAATGAGGTTTTGTATTTTTTTTTTTCTGGGTAAATTTTCCCTTTACAGTGTTTTAAAAAAAAAAAAATACAACTGACCCCTGAAAATTTTCTTGAATGCACTGTACCAATGATAATTAATTTACCTCTAGGTCCACTAGAACATTCTAACTGTGTTCTAGAATGGCCCAGCCAAGATTCTGTGGAATGACTTACAAATTTCTCTACTGGCAACAAAGTCAAAATAAGCATAAATATACAAGAAGATCAATTAAGTGACTCACTTATTAAATCCAGCGCTAATGCTTTAGTTTCCACCCAATCAGAAGTCTCTCCATGTAGTTCTGCCCGAACACGAAGTTGGTAAGTTCCAAAAATGGAAACGCTGTCAGTGAAATCACAGCTCAGGGATGAGCTGCTTAGACATACTGGCCCATACTTATCCCATCCTCTACAGGGAGAAAATGAAAAAACAATTAACATAACACAAATAAATAGAGATCAGCACAGTTTCACACACAGACTGCTTCTAAATCCTTTGTACACGGTTTTCCTTAATGATTAAAATTGGACTTTTGTCTCTTTTCAAAGACAGGTCTCTTTATTAAGACCTGACAAGACATCCTGGGATTTAAAACTTTATTATTATTGTCAAGCTGCTGCTGCTTATGCCAACCTACATTTGTTAAAACCTTCTTTAGTGCACTTATCACCCTTGACCTGCCTCTTGACCAGTTACTTACTTCATTTCAGCAGTGTAGTTGAAGACTGTATTCGTGGTGCTTTGTGGTGGATCCCATTCCAAAACTAGTCCCATGTTCAGAGAAATCACTCTCACATTCTCAGGGGCTGGGACCTTCTCTGACAACACTCAAACACACAAACATATAGATATTTCATTAAACGGCTGCCACTACCACAACCAAGGGAATTGTGCAGTGACCAACAAATGTTAAACAAATCAAAACTACATTTCCTAAACTGGATCTTAACTAAATACAAATTAAAAACACAAATAATACAATTCATTAAAATGTTGCACCTATAGTGTAGTATAGTTGTTATAGTTAGCCCAGAAATGTGTCTGAATCTCTGTTGACGTGAATGTTTTTGTCTGAATCATCCAGTAATACAGAAACAGGAAGTTCAGAACATTTACTGTCAGACACAGACATGTTTCCCCCAACACACTGCTTAATACCACGACTAAAGTTTTATAACAACAAAGCAGTGATAAAGAATATGAACTAGTAGCCTACAAGCTTTTTTTCTTTTCTTTTCTTTTCTTTCTTACTGAGGTACTTTCATTCGTGTAAAGCCATTACGAATAAAACTTACCTGTTCTGACGCAGACGATATAAAACAATAAGACCACAGACAGACAGGATAAAACGGCCATCCTTCTTTAAAAGAGCAGGATCCGCCGTATAACGTTCACAGACAGTTTGTTCTTACTGTATGTTTGCGCTTTGAGAGCGCGTGTATGTCGTTTGTTTCCTTGTATGTGAACAGGTCAAAGCGAAAGAGAACCGAACACGCACGCAGATTAACAGCACTGTAGCCTACGCTTACTAGAAATCAGCAGCGGAAGCGCAGGCGGAGTTACTGACAACAGAATGAGCATGAAAGAGAATAATGTTTCTTCCACGACGTGGTGAACTAATTTATATAGCGCGAGTTGGTTCTGGAACCATGTTGTGTCGCATTGGAAACCTGAAATCACAGAGACTTGTAGGATGGATATTATATTTGAAAAATAAATAAATTGCAGTTATCCATTGGTCCGAGCCATTGGTGCTTGGACCCCGATGATTACCATTTGGAACTATATTTTACAATTAGCTGTCAACCTTCATTAAACCTAGCATGTTTATTCATAATAGCTGGATCTCTATATGTACAAAGTTTTGAGAAACATGGTCTAAAGCTGATGAGTGCAAAGTTTGGTAAAAATCTGATGAATGGTCTGACATTTGAAAAAGTCAGTTTTCAGAATAATAAAATGGCAGATAAATGTTATAGAAAGAAATAAAATGGATATAAATTTTGTGGGGCTTGACACAAATATTCAGTAAAACAATCATTTTGATGCTAGTATGCAGATCCCAGGTTTTTTGCAAATACATAAATTTGTTTATTATAGTGCCACCTTGTGGCTGATTCTCAGCAAATTGCATAGACAGCCTCCTTTAGATTGTATGCATAAACTTGCGTAGTTTCATAATGGTTGGCCATGCACATTTGATGTTATTAATTGCTGAAATTTGATTTGCTGTTGGCAGCCATGTTTGTTGGTTTAAACTTGAGATATTTTTATTCTAGCCCTTTATGGTTCCATTTTGATCTAAAAAAAAATTACACTGATTCAGATTTTTCATTTTACTACATTACCTCGAAGAGTTTAAGCACTGTTTTAGGCACAGACCTCTGTTTTTGAGTTCACCACACGTGATCCACACAAAGTAGAGCTGGATCCAAATGCAGTGTTTAATAAGCAAAACAAAAGTACAACATAATTCAGAAAACACTAAGGAAACAAATCCAACACTGGGGTTTAAATACATACTGACATGCTGATAAGACACACCTGGGAACAATCAGGGAATAATAAAGGAAGCCAAAAGAACTACAAAATGACTACAAAGACACCACACAACTTAAAAGTACAAATAAAATAACAGGGCACATGTGACCGTTCATACAAAAATCTCACTGGATTGTTACAATTAAAGGATAAAAGGAATGTTTGGAAACTGATATTTTCTACTTGAACATTAAAGCAAATGAAAGAAATAACAATTAAAAAAAAAACAAGACAAACAACCCACTAATCAATCTGTGAAACAACAGATCAGCTAGAATCCCAAACAGTGGACTATAATTTGCAATGGCTACAATTATATTCTGTTGGAACTCTGCAGTTGTGACATGAGGGATGCAAGTTAAGTGTTTCCACCTTGAACATGAATTACAACTAAAATCTAGTCTAAACTAGAGTCAAGTGACTTAAAATTAAATCAACGCATGTCAAGTATGTTAAACTTTATCCTGTGAACACCGTGTGAATCTATATATCATTTACCTTCATAAAGCTTTCAGAGATGTCAATATCGTGTTACAAGCTGTTGCAGAGGGCATAAATGTCACCTTGTGGAATAAAGGGGTACATGGGTATTTACCAAAGCTACTTTATCAATATGATCCACCTTATCAATAAATTGTGTTTGGGTATGGAAGCTTGATAATAAAGAAGTATTGGTAATGCCAAGCATGTGCTATTGAAGCACCAAAAGGACCTAAATTAAATAGACCATCACACCAGTCTCCAGCAATGACTTTAAAAGGTTAAAGTGAATTTGATTGCAAATAAATAAACTTACCACCATCATGTTCAATTAATGTGCACACTACGATATCTGTCCATTTCCACAGATTTTGTACGTGTCTGCAAAGGATTACCAAATCACAGGGGGAGCTCTCAATGTCCAAACTAACAAATCAAGTTATGCAAGAACGTTATGCATGGGGTAAACAAAATCTTCACTTAAAGTGGTCATATGATGCTTTTTAAAAGATCATTATTTTGTGTATTTGGTGTAACAGAATATGTTGACATGCTTTAATGTTCAAAAAACACATTTTTCAAATACTGTACATTATTGTAAGTCCTCTATGCCCCGCCTCTCTCAAACGCTTTGTTTCCAACAAAGTCCCTCCTTCCGACAAGCGCAGTCTGCTCTGATTGGCCAGCTGACCCAGTCCATTGTGATTGGTCGAGCACTCGTCGGAAATGTAACGCCCCTTACCATAATCGCGAGCTTCATCTTTCAAAATAAATGTAAAGACAGAGCCCGAAAGGGGAACAGAGTCTTGTGACAGACACAGTGATGAAGCTGGTATGTGTTTGCAGTACACAAGCCACGGTTAAGACAGCTGACTCCACTGTGATGTGACCCTCTCTCTCTCTTTCTCTCTCACACACACACACGATGCGCAAAACTCCGCATTTGACCAGTCAGTAGCAAATACTTAAACTAATAACAAAACAGTAGCTGATTCAGAAGTGCCAGATTGTCATAGCAAAGTCAGAATTACCTCCTCTCCTAGGTTCACGAAATGGTCGTCCATAAAATGCATTGCTGTTCTGTTGTAAGTGATCTTAAAGATTCCTAAATGCATCTACTTTCGGAAGGCCAAATAAAGTGCTTTTGCTTTCGCCTAGAAACACACAGCGTCTCCCTGACATGGCTGCTTCAACACTAACTGCGGTTACTGAAACCACGCCTTCTTTCTTTGCGTGCACATTTGGGCAGCATTATGCAAATATTTCCACATAGTGAGGTAGATATGTGGGGGCGTGTTAGAACGAGCCGTTTTAGGGGGGCGTGGCAGAGTCTTAACTTTGATAAAGAATATCTCTTTGGTTTTGAGACTTTAGTCTTTGCAACTTCAGGGATTTTATCTATGCACAAACAGCTTGTAACACTCCAAAGAGAAAGGAAAACTTGAAATCGCATCATATGACCCCTTTAAGATAAATACTTTGTTCCCCTAATTTTAAAAGTATGACTCCTCAGCTGCTCCCATCCATCTGCAGCTCATGTTATAAGCTATGTGTGCATTTTTTCCCTCTCTAACAGTTAAGGTTGCACTTGGACTTATACTTAAAGCTACCAGCTTGAGTGCTGAGTGGAGAATCACTCACAAAAAAAGGTTTTGGTTGGTTAGCAATTTCACTATAGTACTGGTCTATTCCCAATACTAAGTAGCTACTCTAATTAAATACTACTATTATTTATAACAAATATTTATTGAATGATAAAATTTTATAAACAACAACAACAGCCATCATAACAGTTGCTAGGCAATCCAGTACAAAGGCAGCGCTCTGATATACTGCATTAAAGTTACATCAAATATTTGCTCTGGAACTAATAATAGATTAATGAGTTCAAAGACTGCCTGTAAGATTTACCCAGAACTAATTATATCTCATGTTTAAAGACTATAAAGACATCAGAGCCAGCGGCAAATTCCAGAAGATCTGGCCGAGGTGAGGCTGCTCTCGGCGGGTTCATGACGCAACCACAAACTGTCAAAACACATCTTACCAGCAAACATACACTCGTTTTCATCCTTCTCTCCACTCTGAGGCAGAAGTCTCTAAACTCATCCTTTTCAATCATCCTACTACTTGTCCGCTTGATCCTATTCCATCTCATCTCCTTCAAGCCATTTCTCCTGCCGTTGTAACTGCACTCACTCACATAGTTAACTCATCCCTTCACACTGGTGTTTTCGACTAAAAACACATCTGTTCCACCTTTATTTGACCCTCTAACACTTTCTATTCTATTTTAATTAGACTTTATATGTATCTTCTTTTTTTTTTTTTTTTAATAAAAAAAACAAAAAACAAAAACACTAGCTTTCTATTCTATCTACTTGTTTTTCTTTGTGTG